CATCACTGAATGCGCTAAACCGCCAATTCGAAGTTTGAAATTTTATAACGAAAGTGGTAGTAAATTGTGCACGCTTTCTTCGTTCTGCATTGAAAGAAGCTAAGAATTCACAAATTGTTATTATTATTCAAAAAATTCTTTTTGGGGTATGGGAAAGGTGAAGTGTGGGGAGAGGCTGGCAAAAAGAATAAATGCAAGAATAGAGAGTAATGGAGTCAAGATCATGTGGATGGTGTCCGCGTGGTTCTGCCTATGTTTCAATTCTTAGTTGTAAACGCAGATAGCCACTTATCCACCATTTTCTGAAGACAAATGCTGAACTGTTAAACTTAGGTACCCGCCAGGCATTCATTAAATATTGCTGATTTCATGCTAATTTTGAATGAATATGGATACGCAAGATACGAACGATGTGACTGCAGGCCAATGCTTTTGCATCCACTGCATACTGAAGAAAATCGGTCTTCTTAATGGTTAAAACATGATGCTCATAACTTATTAAATTCAGTTTTCATTCTTTGGTTTACTTTGTAGATCTGCATCATATAGGACGCAATAATCTTCGTCTTTAAATCGTTTCCTACGTAGCCTGCAGTGACTGCATTGATTATCACTTGCATCGTCAAGAACAATGCCCAAAAATAGTACTCTACGAAACTTCACTCAAGCACGAGTTTTCTTCCCGATTGACTCACCAGATCTAATCACAGACAAACTGCGATTTGAAGAAAAGTTGACTTTTTCAATAAAAATTTGGTGATCGCATAATCGAGCAATTTAAGCAACAGTTTGGGTTGGGTGATGATCAGAGTATAAGATTTCGGTCTGATGGGTATTGCTGTATCTGTGAATTGGTCAGTGCTGGCATTCCCAGCAAATGGTAACTAATGAAAGGGAGGAAGGCCAATCTGAAGAGACGAGAAGCGAACACGGGTGGAACGGTAGTAGAAACTGGAGAAAAGCAGATTAGGTCAGATTAGGCACTCGTCGCACTCGGCCTGTGGCTACAAAACACTCAAATTGGGAGCCCGAGATCTTTGCCAAGCTAGTTTTGATGATCAAAAATCTTAGGTTCAGTTTTCAGTTTTCTGGCACAGTTCCTCGTGAGGTTGCACTTTTTTTGTTACGTCTGAACTCCGACTGGGCCACAACTGTTGCGTATGAATGCGCACGCGAGGGATCTGCTCGAGCACGATTTGAAGTGTGCAAATAATAACAGAGGCGTTCAATCTGAAGAAGTTTTAGAAACACTGAGCTCAGGTTGCCAGGGTATTGGTCGCTGCCAACTACCGATCAGTTTGCGTGGAACGATGCACCGTCCCCACTGCAATATCTTGTTAAAGCAGTGCTTTAGTTCATTTGCATTGCTTCCTATTAGAATTTCGAAGTCGCACGTTCTTCACTGTTACAGCTGCAGCGTTGCCTTTCCCGTCTCTCTCTCTCTCAGGAACAAACAATTTTATAAAATGTGCCTGTAAAAATATTTGTGATCTGTTGCTCCAAATACAAAGCAGGTTGTCCCAATTTGATTTTTTGCCTTTCATAAGCAGCACGTACAAATTAGTCTCACGTATTCGTCACACACTAACTCAAATTAGAAGAGACGCCTTTTCATGATAATAGGGAATGAGTGCAAGGAATTGTAAATGCAGAAACTGACACATTCTTTTCTGAAAACGTAACAGTGATTAAATTCTTTTTCCGAAAACGTATGACCTACATTTTCCGAAAATAACGCTTTCTTTTGTCCCTCCCTCCCTCTGGTCATCCTTAAAACACGAGATTTTTTTTTACCGAAGTTTTGTGTAAAGTGTCGTTTTGTTTTTCGTTTTTTCTTTTTTGAATTTTTCAGAAAGCAATGAATGACTTCGTCTTATTCTAGCGACATTTCGGTGGTTAGTGTTCATCGTTTTCGTCGGGTTTGCGCTGACCTGAAACGCAGGAGAGAACAAAAGATTGCGGGGAAGGGTTGAACCAACTCTTACAGAAATTTCACAAGACAGTCACTTATCTTGCTCCACACAAAGCGCAACGTGTGCCTCAGATTTGAAATCTACGATCGTGCCCTCCTTGCTTGCTTCAGTGCACCTGACGATTTGCTGCTTCTGGCTTTTCAGCGGCAGCCTGGCATCTCCCAGTTGTTTTGACGTTGTTTTAGCATTTTGAGCTGCAGGCTGAATAGGTGTATGACTGAATATGACATCTGTTCAGTTTCGTCTTTTCTACATATTTTGCTTTGTTTTACTTTGTTTTGTCGAAAAATTTAATTTTTTTTACTTGAAATTGGAAGGCAGAATTTTCTGCCATGGGCAAACAACAGCAAAAAGCATGAAACGTGTCATCTGAACCTTCTATTTTACAGACCGCAACTGACGTCCACACTCACTACAGCTGTGCATCAGTAACTTTTATAGATATGAAAGTGCACAAAGTTACATTCATCGCATCTGCTGTAAGCGGTATAACACTTGTGGCTTGCCTGATAGCTGTTCTCAGCATTTACAGTGATGTACAAACGATCTGGAGTCAGCTGGATCTGGAAATCAGTACATTCCGGGTATATGCTTTTTTTCTAACAATTTTAAATGCCGGCAACACGCACC